AGGAGCACAACCAGGGACCACACCGAAAGCAGCAGGCAAAGTGATCCCAGCGGAGCTCAGGCTGCTGGCAGTTGCATGCGCCCACGAATTTGGCACACGCAAGGCATAACGGAACACGCGGGCTGCGAGGCCGCGATGGACACCGACAGGACTGGTGGAAGAAAGCCGCCCGAACAAGTTTGCCTGCAACTTTTGCACTTCGATGGAGAAGGGGCCCCACCCAAGTTCGCCCAAGACCGCGGCACCAGGGGCTCCAGCTGGCCAGGAAAGCAAACGACGCCCCCATTGCCGCATAAGCTTGTCCAAACGACAGATGGATGTATCATCCAGGAAAGCTGCACCATGGAGCATTGAAGGGAGAACATAGGAGTGAAACAAGCTGCGGCGGAAGCCGGTATGCAAACCACGGTTCTCAGCCCAGGCGATGGACTGGTGAAATTTGCGCGTGCTTTTTGCGGCAAGGCGATCGGTGTGCTTCCTCCATTTCCTGGATGACTGGAAAACAACACCCAAATAACAGTACTCGGTAACAACGGGTACGTCCAAACCCTGAAGAGTGAATCGAAAATCCGAAGATCTGGAACCAACAACAAGAACTGCTGTCTTGTCAGGGCCGATCCCAAACGAGAACCGCCAACGGGCACCCCAGGCACCGATTGCATCAAAAGCCCTCTGCAGATCCTGCTGGGTGTCAGCCAAGACTACCAAGTCATCGGCATACAGAAGCAGAGAAACCCTTGGGGCAGAGGCATCATTACCAAGTGCAACACCTGGGCATGCTGCCCGGACAGCAGTGGCGACACCGTCAAACAAAATGTTGAACAGAAGCGGTCCGAGCACGCTGCCTTGGCGGACACCAGCACATTCAGTCCACGGTTCGGACAGGTTGCCATTGATGAGGACCCGCGCAGACGTAGAAGAAAGAAGGTCATCCAGGACACACCACGTTGAGCCAGCAACACCAGCAGCAGCGAGTTTGACAAGGACAGCGTCCCTCCAGGCCACGTCAAACGCCTTGCGCACATCAACAAAGCCGCAGAATGTGCGCTTACGAGCACGCAAGCGTAGCGTCTCGGCTAACGTGTAAATGTGTTCTTCGGCACCCCACCGAAACCCAGCTTGGCTTTCGTCAATGATGGGGTCCACACGCGGGTGCAAACGTTTGAGAAGCAACCTCTCAAAAACTTTCAGGGCACAACTTAGCAAACTAATGGGCCGATAATTTGTGAAATCGTCAGCTGGACCTGACTTGTGCAACGGCGTTACAGTAACAGCACGCCAGCTAGATGGCACGACCGCCCAATAACGCACAAGCTCAAAAAGTGCCAGCAACGCAGATTGCAAAGCATCATCATCGACACGGAAGACTTCATAAGTCAGACCATCAGGCCCCGGTGCTCGATCAGCAGGCAAGTCCTGCAAAACACGCTGAAGTTCCGGCTGGGAAAAGGGGAAATCAAGGCTGCTCGTTGTAGCAGACATTGTGCGACGCAGGCGAGACACGTCAGCATGCAAGCTTTGGCTGTTACCGGATGATGGAACATCCCTGAAATGGCAACGCCAAGCATCAAGGCATGCAGCACCTTCCACTGTCCCATTGCGAGACGCAGGAGACCTCATGCTGATTGGCAATGGGCGACGAGTGGGGC